TCATATCATTTAAAATTCTTTTTTTAAGTGTATTTCATTTTTGAGAGAGAGAGAGAGAGAGAGAGAGAGAGAGAGAGAGAGGAAGAGATAGGTAAACAGACATGCAGCCCCCACGAGGTCTCGAGCTGTGATCCCACACCTTCTCATCCACTCAGGATCACGGAAACACTGAAAGTACGTACAGGTTGACCTAGAAACTGAACCCACAAACTTCTGTATGAACCCAGCATCACTAGAGCAGCGTATTACCACAGGACCACCTAGCCAATCTCATTTTAAATATTTAACAATAATTGATATAGACTGGAAACTGCTACTGGAGTCCTTGCAGAGGAAAGAAGCAACTTTCAGAGATTGGGGGCCGGTAATGAACTCAGATGCTGCATCCTAATGGTCCCCATTAAGCTGCTACATTATTGCCAGAGGACATGGCCGGTGGCATAACCATAGCCTTCAGCATTTACATATTCCCTTGGGTTTTCTTTCTCGGTACATGAAAAGATTCTGGGACTTGCCCCCTAGCATAGAGGTTAAGGAGCCAGATCACACATGACTGACCACTGTTTGGATTCCTACTCTGATAGCAGAAAAAAAGAAAAGGAATGACATGTGTATGCATGCCCCAAATCCTAATGGGAAGGGGAAATAGAGGGGGGAAAGGATTGTAGCATGACCATGCCCCATTAGGGGTGCTTTCTTTCTGTTTCTCTGGCAAGCACATGCATCTTCTGGCAATAAAAAAGAAAGAAAGAGTACCAGCAGATGGTGTGCCAGTTAAGGCATCTGGATCCTATGTGGCCAACTTTGCAATCTGAGTACTGGACCCAGTGGCTAGAAAATCACACCAGGTGCATGCGTGTGCAATCCTAAAATCCCAAGACAAGAATGGAGGAGAAGGCATTGCGGTGTGGCTTTCCCTGCTGAGGGATGATTTCTTGCTTTCCCTCCCTGTTTCTCTCTCTTCTGCAAGCACATGTGTCCTGTGGCAAATAAATAAATAAATAAATAAATAAATAAATAAATTGTGGAACAAAAATTAAAAAGAAAAGATTTGTGACTGGTATCCACTTCCAGATGTCCTCTTAATCCCTTTCCTCAAACTTTCACATTCAACTCTCTCTCTCTTTCATTTTTTTGAGAGAGATATTTTTGCTATAGGGTGCATGCATGTGCTCAGTGGAGAGACAGAGAGACAGAAAGCAAGAAATCACCCCACAGGGGGATGGCCATGCCATAATCCCTTCTCTTCCATCCTTCTCTTGAAATCTTAGGCATGCACGCACATGCACCCAGTGTGAATTTTAAGCTGCCAAGTCATGACTCAAACTGACTACATGGGAGTCCAGGGATGTAACCATGACTCCATATGCTGGTCCCCACATTCATCTCTTGATTAATGTGTTCATGAAATAATCCATTCTAAATTTTGAAATAATTACATATGCAAACATTTACTAGTGTGTATTCTGCCACAACTCTTCTCTATAATCTTAAGGTATCACATTCTTTGAGACCAGAAATTGACCTTGGTTTGGTCATAAAATATATTGGCAAGTAAAGTTTCATAAATATATGCACCTGATTTGATCTACATTTGAGAAATTAATTGATTGAAAAATAACCAAATTAAAAAGCCAGCTAATTATTAGATGCTAATAAAATATCTTTTTTAAAAAATTTTACTTTAATCTCCATGATAACGATTAAGAACAAGAGCCAGGCTGAACAAGTTTGTGTTCTGGCTCTTCCACTTATCTACTTAAGCTTAGACAACTTTTATTTTGTTTTGTTTTTAACCTCTCATTTCTCAGTTTCTGCATCAGTAATGTGTGTATGTGGCGGAATATTAATTACTATCTCAGAGTTATTTTTAAGATTAAATAAATCACATTGTCACGCACATGGTACTTAATAAATATTAGCCTTTTTTCCATATCGTATGTGTGCTCTGCACATTATAACCTCTACATTCATTAACAATAATAGCAACATTAACAGGACCTGTTACCATTTTTTTTTAAATTTTTGCTATAGGGCATGTGCACCCACTAGAGAGAGACAGAGAGAGAGAAAGGGAAAGTAAGAAATTACTTTCTGGGGAGATGGCCACACCACAATCCCTTCTCTATTCTTTCACAATTTTGGGCATGCACACAGCATGATTTTCAAGCTGCCCAGACCAGGACTTGAACTGCACTGCTAACACGTATTAGGCAATTACCATGTGACAGAAACTAGGCAAAATGCTTTACATATATTATCTTATTTCATTTCCACAAAAACTCTATGAGATAGATCACATCATTGTCCATATTTTATGTTAAGGATAGTTAAGGTTAGAATAATTTTAGATTAGAATAAAATTGACCATATCACAATAAAGTTAGAATAAAATTTACCCAGGGACATTGTATTAGTCAGAGTTCTCCAGAAAAATCGGTATATCATGTTGGGTAAAGTCTCTTCACAATCTAAATGATGTATAGCGATTTAATGTATGAATAATAATTAAAAATATATAAATAAATTATATATATATATATAATCTTGAAAGAAAACAAAGAATAAAAATCTCTGGGCCAAAAAAAAATAGAACCAACAGTATATGTGTGTAGTATGTGTGTGAATGAAGAGAGTTATTATAAGATATTGGTTCACATGATCATGGAGGCTAAGATGTGCCATGGTCTACTGTCTGCAAGTAGGACACCTGGGAATACTGATAGTCTAATTCTAGTCTGAGTTCAAAGGCCTGACAACCAAAGGAGCTAATGGTTTAAATCTCAGTCCAGGGCAGGAGAAGATCAGATGACATGTCCCACTTCAAGCAGGCAGGTAGGGCAAATAACACATCTTTTGTTCTATTCAGTCCAGCAGCTGATTAGATTATGCTCACCCACATTGCATGTGGCAATCTACTGAATCCTCTGATCCACATGCTAATAAATCCAAAAAGCACCTTATAGACAACGCCAGAAATTATGTTTAATCTGGGCATCCCATGACACAGTCAAGTTAACATATAGAACTAACCATCACAGACATGCAGTTGGTGTTAATAGGCATTCTTGTTTGTCCCCAACTCTGTCTCTCTCTCTCTCTCTCTCTCTCTCTCTCTCTTTCTCTCTCTCACACACATACACACTACTTATTAATTTATCCATTCCTTTGGTCAACTACTCATTAAATATTTGCTACTACTTACTATGTGCAGGGTTCAATGCATCATGCAGAGAGGAGGTGTACAGAAGGAGAAAGATAATCAAGGAATGGTGCCTCCTATCAAGGAGTTTACAATCTATTGCAGGAGATACTCAGATTTGTATAACTAAAGTAGATGATATGATAGAAGGGCTCCAAGCATAAATCACATGCTGTATGAGTACCGAGGAGGCTATTAATTCTCACCTGGGAGATGGGAAAATAAACATAAACCTTAATAACCTTGAATGGGAAGATAAGGAAGAACAAGAGCATTCCAAAGAAAAGGATCAGTCTGCGGAAAGTACTCAAGCGTTCAATTGGATTGACAGTTAATATGGTATTTAGCAGGTAGTGTTTGGCTAGGAGTGCAGTCAGAGGTCTGGGAAAATACATTTGAAATGTTCTTCATGCTTTTGTGTGTTTAACAATGAAGCAAATCCTGTATTTGTATGGGTCCCACTCAGTTATCCAAATCCTTTGTCCAAGCAGAGATGGAGAGACTTGGAAAAGAGTGTGACAAAATTGTTCTGGATTGTACACTAGGTGCTTAGTTGATATTAGAAAGTCAGAATTGACTTTAGATCAGACTATCTGAGTCACTTTTATTTTTTTAAATTTGCTCGAGGGCTCATACACTTGCAGGAGAGTGAGAGAGAGAAAGCATCCACATGTGGGATTTTGGGCATCCATACATTTCATCTGTCTTTTCAGAATTTTAAGTGCCCACACAGTTTGGACATGTTTTTCAGACCTCCTGGTCTGGGATTCAAACCATGCAGTTTACCATGTAGGATTCAGCTGTCTTAACCACTATACCAAGGACCAGCCCAGGAGCCACTTTTCTGATGAAATTAAGATCTATTTTTCCCCTTGAGAATTTTCCACACAACAGGAGCTAGGTCCACCTCCACCCTGAGTTCAGGAGTCTCTAGGAAAACGCTGGTCAATCCCTATTTTAGGATGGACTGTTTACAACTAAATCAAGATCCAAAGTTACAGAGCTAGGATGCCTAGGACCACCACTAATGTCAGATTGGCAAAATGCCAACAACAAAGTATACTATTTCACCCATAAAATTCTTTCCTTTTTTTCTACTCAAATTGGTATTCAGTAAGCTGATAGGACACTGTGTCGGTATCTTATAGAGAAACTTAATAGGAAAAAAAAGAGGCATTTTTTACTCCATGCTACCTAATGGTATATTCCTCGGTAATTTCCATATCTACTGAAAGCTGAAATCTAAACCGTTCTTTCACCTCACTTGGTATTACCCCAAATTTAAGCCTTGTCTCTACTTCTTTGTACTTAAGTATTAATCAACACTTGTTTATTATCAATAATTAAATATCACTCAATGACTCATTGATTGTTGATCAATATTAGTTGTAAACACTAGTTAATAACAGACTAAGGCAAAAAGCCAAAATATATATCATGTGTGAGATCCTTTAGTCACCTCACATGCCAAATGGCAACCTCCCTAACCTTTCTGTGAAAGATTTAGAGTTGGCATTTTTTGATGGTCTTTATTGAGCCAGTGGCTTATTTGTGTCTGCCCATGAAGAGAGTGTAAAAATCTCCTTATAACATTGTCAAGAGAAGAAATCCTTTATGTTTGGCCTTGATTTGATGAAAATGGGTCTTGCAGACCATATACGGTAAATGGATATTAAAAACCAGGATTATTAATTGTTACTTTAGAGAACCAAAAGATCTTACCAAAAAGGATTCATTGTTTTAATTGCTCCTTGTTATACATGATGCAAGAACATCATTTCTCTCCTTTTTCCCCCAGGTGGCTGTAGAGGACCGAGTCAGGCAGCTACATGAAGCCCACAGGGACTTTGGCCCAGCGTCTCAGCACTTCCTTTCCAGTAAGTCGCTTTCAGCTTTCATTGATTAACCTCTTCATTCCATCTTGGTAGCTAAAAATTAAGAGCTGAATTATAGTCATCTCTGCCAGATGCAGTGGAGGCATAAATCATCCTGAAATAGAACTTGGTGGATTAATTCAGAAGGTTAGGAAGAGGAGGGCCCATTAGATCATTTTGTCCAGTCTTCAGATAATGCGTAATTGTTTCCTGCAATGTATTCTCAACCGTGAACTTTATTAACATTTTGAGTCTTCTTCTTTTTTTGTTTCAATTTTTACTATAGAGCACACTCACTTACCAGAGAGAGAGACAGAGAAAGAGAGAAAGTGAGAAAGTACCGCCCAAGGGAGATGGCCATGCTGTAATGCCTTTTCCTCCAGTCTCCTCTTGGTATCTTAAACTTCACACACCCACGCCCAGTGTGGTTTTCCAGCCACCAGTTTTGAATTTGAACTGCACAGTTGGCCATGTTAATCTCTATGCCATCTGCTGGCCCCAAAATGCTCTTCTTCTTTTTTTTTAACTATAGTGTGCATGCACTCAATAGAGAGAGAGAGGAAAAATGAGAAATCATCCCCCCCAAGAGGTGTCAAGTCTTTGTTTCTGCCTATATTAAATAACTTCATAATGCTGATGTTTATGATATCATTTAACTATCATATAATCATTCAATATCTGTAACTGTGAATCCCTAATTCTTATCTCTATATAATTTATTAAATGTTCCCTGCCTCCAAGCTGGACCCTCAGCCTCTGGTGTTTCCCTCCCCTAACTATTCTTTTCCCTTTTTTGTCTTTGAATTTTACTCATTCTTTTTATTTGCCAGTACTATACACATCAGCAGCAGCAAATAGCTTTTTATTTTTTTCAGATTATTATTATTACTATTTATTGTTATTTTTTTAAACATTCAACCACTATTCATCAATTGACTTGTAAAGAGAATTTGCCCAACATGAAATACTTTTCAGACCAGTCCAGTTGAGAATACTGTACATGTTATCATCAACAGGTAATGAATCATTTCTACATCCCACAAATGTCATGCCTCTCTATTTGTTCTCCGGATTTCCTTCTCTATACTCTTCCCTTCTCTTCCCTGCTCCCCACACCTTCATTCCACACTGTCTTCAGTGAGTTTTTTGGTATTCAAAAAGCCATACTTCAGCCAGCAGGGCATGGTAGTTAAGGCACTGGACTCCCATGTGGCCTACCATGGTTCAAGTCTCAGACCAGATGATTTGCTTTCTTAGTTTCCCTTTCTCTCTCTGTGTCACTCTCTGGTCAAATTTAAAAATAATAATAATAATAGTGCGAAAAGTTAAATAAAATAATATTTTTTTAAAGTCATACTTCTACGGTGGCAGGTGGCATAGTAGTTACGGCGGCGAACTCCCACGCAGCTGAATGTGGTTCTAGTCCCACACTTAGCTATTTGCTTTCTCACTTTCCCTCTTTCTCTGGTGAGCACACGTGTCCTATAGCAAATTAAAATAATAATAATAAATAAATAAAATTTAAAACTTTTTTAAAAGAAGCTATTCCTCTAATACATGGAGTTAACATCTATGAGCATTTTAATGTATTTCATTCTGGTCATATATGAGTGTGTATAAGGATTTAATTGTTATTATAAGGCAATTACTTTGTGCCTGCCAATGTTACAAATATTAACTAATTTAGTCCTATAGCAACCCCAAGAGGTTGGTACCATTACTGCATCCATTTTAATGATGAGGAAATTGAGGTACTCATTCACACAGCTATTAGATGAAAGAATCAGGAATCAGGATTCAAACCCAAGAGATTGCCTCCAGAGTCTGTGTTTGTAATCATTACACTGTGCTTTTATTAATTTATGTATTTTATAGAAAGGAAGTAATTTGATATGATCTGTCTTCATTCTTTTGCCACATTCTTTTATTACTATTTTCTGGTCCTTTCCTTTTTAATTCAAATTAATACAAAGATCCATGTTCACAGATATTTTATTTTCCATTTTGCCAAAAGGTATTTGTGCTCACCAGGGAGAGAAACAGAGAGAGAAGGAGAGGGAGAAATCACCCCCTAGTGGAGCATAGTCACACCACAATACTTTCCTTTCTATTTTTCCATCCCTTTAGGATTTAGGGTATACACACATATGACCCCCAGTGTGTTTTCCTATCCATGTGGGATACAGCTCCCTTACCCACTAGGCTACAAGGCCAGGCCAGCTCACAAATATATTAAAGTACTTGACGGTATGCTTTTATGTGTGTCTCTAGTTAGCCACTGTCTTTTAGGACAGTTTCTAAAAGGTTTGATCTTCTCTTTTCATAACACACAGATAATAGGCCAAGCAAGAAGTTGTGATATTTTCTTGACTATCCCTAACCTTATTATCTGCATGTGGTCTAGTTATTTAGACAATATGGCACATACTTAGAAACTTCCAAGAAAAATGGGTCAGTTAAAGCAGTATATCTAAATGAGATCATGCTTTTTATGAACAGCTTTAAAAAAAAATAATGAAGATAGAAAATTTTGTCTTTTGTACTTTTCCAAATATCTGATCTGCTTAACTCATCTTGGTGACAGCCATTCTATTCCGTTTAATTGAGATTTAATGTGATAATATGCTCCTAAGTGACTCATAAACCATAAATAAAAATATTACTATTATGAATAATAATCTCTCCTCAGACACCATGTATATTCATTCGCACTTTCTTCTCTCTGCCTCCCACCCCTCTGAATTCCCATGTCTTCCCCATGAAAACCTACTCCCAGAAAATGATATGTTATACTCATTTAACCCAGGTGACAGGTAAAGTTTAATGCATATTTCTCCTAGATTATTTGCATTTTATTAGGGTGAAAATTCATAAGCCCAAGAAATGATTCTCTGGTGGCAGAATATCAGCCATAAACTCTGAGCTGTGAGGGAAGAACTTGGAGGGGCCAGGTACAACATTTTTACACCTTTCAAACCATACCACATCAGTGCCCACTTCCAGAAAGATCAGGCCTATAGACTTGTACACACAGAAGGAGACTGATCTACCTGCCTGAATGGAGCCAGCCCTAGAAATCACTCATCTCTTTAGATGCCCATGTGGAATATCAATATATGTTTGGAAGCTTTGCATATAGGGTTTTTTGTAGATTATTTATTATTATTATTATTATTATTCATACATTGAATCGCTATACATCATTGAGATTGTGAAGAGACTTTACCCAGCATGATAAACACCTCAGTTCAGCCCAGTTGAGGCCACCATACACATCCTCATCAATAGACAATAAACTTTATCTGTGTCCCACAAGTGTCTTACCTCTCCATTCCCCCCCCCAAATTTCCTACACTCTTCCCCTCTCAGATGCTCTTTCCACTTTGTCTCTAGTGTCCATTACAATTTTCAATACTTTTATGTTCTCCAGTCTTTCATTCTCTACTATAGAGTGCAGACAGTCGGTATATGTTAAGTGGAGACATGCACTAATTTGGTTTAAAAGATATTTAAGAAACAGGACAGCGGGGCCGGCAGGTGGTGTGGCAGGTAAATGCACCGGGTTTCCC